GGGGGGGGGGGGGATGCCTGGGGCACACGCAGTTGTTGCTAGCGCACGCGTGCACGCACAGGCACACGCGACGCAAAGGCACAGGCAAGAGCACGCATCCGCAGCGACACTCACACACACACACTCGCGGGCGCGAGACACACCCCTGCACGCGCACGCGCACGCACGCGCACGCGCACGCGCACACAGCCCCGCCCCTCCATCGCGCGCGCCTCCCCCGCCCCTCCCCGACACTGCTGGTACTGGTGGGCCTGGCAGGCTCGAGTACCTCCCGACCGCCGACGATGTGGGCGCGGTGCTGCGGCTCGAGTGCGTGGGGCCGTACGGTGAGAAGGATGAGCAGAGTCATAATAACGATGGCGATGGCGATGAGAAGAACAACTCACAACAACATTCCTACTCAGGTGGCAAGCCCGTGGCGGTGGAGACGAGCCCGATCGCACTCGACCCGCCGACACACGCCGAGCTCGAGGCTTTCTTGCGCAAGGGGCAGGCGGAGCTCCACGCAATCAAGTGATCTATTGAGTTCATTTCAATCATTAATTTATTCATTGGGGCAGGCGGAGCTCCACGCCCTCCCCTTCCGGCGATCTCTTTCTTTTTTCTCACCGTTTCTCTTCACGGGGCAGGCGGAGTTCCACGCCTTCACGCCGCAGCAGGAGGCGCGCATCGTCCTCGTCACGCGGAAGAACATCAAGGTGCTATCTCCCCATATCTCCCCATATCTCCCCATATCTCCCCATATCTCCTCGTCACACGGAAGAACATCGAGGTGCGGGCCTCGCACGTTGGAAGCCGTGGGGGGGCTCCTGCCCTCTCTAGACGAGTCTAGACGAGTCTAGACGAGGAGTCGCGAGGGTCGCCCGGCCCTTGCCCCACCACCCTCGTGTGTGGAGAAGCTCACCTGACCTGACCTGACCTGACCTGACCTGACCTGACCTGACCTGACCTCAAGGTGCGCTCAAAGTCGTCCCGGATGGGCGGCGGCGCGAGCACTCTCTACAAGCAGGGCTACCAGAGGCCGGTGACGGCCGTGGTCGACGAGCACTCGCCGCAGGACGGGGAGATATGGGGAGATGTGGGGAGATAGCACTCGCCGCAGGACGGGGAGATATGGGGAGACGTGGGGAGAGAGCACTCGCCGCAGGACGGGGAGATATGGGGAGATGTGGGGAGAGAGCACTCGCCGCAGGACGGGGAGATATGGGGAGATGTGGGGAGATAGCACTCGCCGCAGGACGGGGAGATATGGGGAGATGTGGGGAGAGAGCACTCGCCGCAGGACGGGGAGCCGCTCCCTCACACACAGAGACGCACGGGTCTCCCATGAGTTTCTCCCATGGGTTGACCTCCGTCTCCTCTCCTCCTCTTTTCTCCGCGGGAGCGAGAGCCGCAGCGAGGCGAGGCGCCTGGAGGGAGCGAGCCGTCACCCGCCGCGGCGCTCCTCTGTTCTAGGAGATGGCGCTGCAGCTCGGCGCGCTCAAGTTCGAGCTGCTCATGGAGACGCCCCGGCTGCGCGACCTGGCCGTGCTCTGCATCCGCATGTTTGCAGGCCCGAACTGCCCCACCCACGAGCAGGTGTGCACCGAGGCCGCACCCGTGGATTCAGAACGAGCTCATTCATAAGTAACGAGCTGCCCCACCCACGAGCAGCTCGGCGCGGAGCTCGACTTGGCCGAGTCGGAGGACATGTCGGCGCGGTCGCAGCCGGACGGAGCGTCGCTCTAGACGCGGAGTACCTCCCCATACCTCCCCGCATCTCCCCGCATCTCGAGCCCTAGAAGCGGAGTACCTCCCCATACCTCCCCTCTCGAGCCCCAGAAGCGGAATACCTCCCCATACCTCCCCGCATCTCCCCGCATCTCGCGCCCCAAAAGCGGAGTACCTCCCCATACCTCCCCGCATCTCCCCGCATCTCGCGCCCCAGAAGCGGAATCTTCCACCCAGCGCTCGAGAGGACACGCACCCACGCCGGTGCTCTAGACACACTGCCCGGTGCCGCCCTCCCTTCCTAAGGTTGGCGGACTCAGCATGTAGGATCGGAGCGGCCGACGGAAGCGCCCTCCTCTGCTCGCGGCGCGGCGCCGCCGGCGGGTGCGGGCGGCGCGGAGCTTGGCGGGGTCCGCTGGAGCGGCGACGAGGAGGTGTGAACAGCGTCTCTTCACACCCTGATGCTGTGAATAGGCGGTGTCCACTGGAGCGACGAGGAGGTGTGAACAGCGTCTCTTCACACCCTGCTGCTGTGAATAGGCGGTGTCCACTGGAGCGACGAGGAGGAGGAGGGCGAGGGGGAGGAGGAGTTCAAGCCTGCGATGGAGGAGCGTCTCTCCGCGCAGACCCGAGGCCACTCACGGCTCACTCCCTGAGCACGCCTTCAACGGCGAGCTAAAGT